TCAAAGGAGTAACAATCTTTATTAAAGCTCCAGTCGGCAAGTCTGGCAGATTGAGTGGATTAAGGAAAATTTTGAATGTTTACAACTCTCATGCCCCTCCCCCACTATCAACGGATACCCTCCCACCGTGACCGAGTTCATGCTCGTCAGTGCGTGTGCACCAGATTTTCAGTGAACGCGCCCGTCTCATCAGCATCCATCAATGCCATGGAGTATTTGGAGGTATGCTGTCCTGGCTAATCTACTGATAGATTGCAATTGCTAACGTCATTTATACTCTAAATGAGCTTACTTGATTTTCCGCCATCACTCGTTACTGCGCGAACTTCCGCGAACTTCAGGCGTGTGCATGTGATTGTAACGTGCGCGAGGGGTGGCATGTCGTGTCGTGTGCCCGATCGTTGATTGACAGTCAGATCTCACACCCCCCTACGCTGATTGGACATGATGAACCGGGAGCTGTGGATTTTTGCAAAACAAATAACACGCTCCAGGTGGAGTTAGAAGCTCGGGTTTTTTTCTAAAACCACTTTATTTATGTTGTTCTGTCAGATTATAGTGTCGATTTCACTGAATATGATCAAAAAAATTTTGCCGACGGCAGCTTTAAGCACTGTATTTATGGAAGTAAGAAAAGGAAGGCCGGAGCAGCTTGGCAGATCGAGGGCTCCTTCCCCGGGATGTTACACACTCCACGGCCCCGAAGGTAGATAGACAGGTAAGCACTCTTCTTCCAGCGATAGCTGCACACCTTAGACTCTGAAGGAAGATAGTCAGATGAACACTCCTCTTCCAGCGATAGCCGCACAATTCGGGGCTCAGAAGGTAAGTAGACAGGTAAACACTCCTTTTCCAGCGATAGCTGCACACTTCGGGGCTCAGAAGATAAGTAGACAGGTAAGGATTCTTCACAGTACAAAGTACTTTCGTCGGTGCACAGTAATGAGACGGTGGTCTAAAAGCTTAGATGCTGCATACTTCCAAACTCAGACAGTGAGTAGAAAGGTAAGGATTCTTCACAGTACAAAGTACTTTCCAGCTCAGCTGTATCACTCTGGCTTCTGATGGAGAGCAGATATAATAACAACTTTCCACAAACGTGTAAGCATGGGTTGGGGCCACTTCTCAGCAAAAGCACACCACACTCGTGTTCACCTCAAATCCACAGCAATGAATCAATGTGTATAAATAGGGCAAAAGCACTGCATTTCACTCACACGATAGGGCTGATCAAAGGCTTCAATCCATTCGTTACACTCTCGTGGGAGATATTTACTCTTCAGTTCCTCCTCAGCACACGCTGAAACACATAGCTTCTCCAACAGTTGGATTTACATTCACTGCATCCTCTTTGAGCTTTTCAAATGTTCATGAGAGGGAATCAATTCACTTATCTTTCCCTCTCCCTCCACAGCGCCAGTCCAAACGATAAGTCAGTCCAGCAGATTTCCACAGACGGACTCTGATCCAGCAGGCTTCAATGGGCGACCTCCACACCCAGACAACTTCCCCGAGTAAACTTGTGCCCAACACTGTTCCGAGTAAAACCAGTTTCCCTCCCCCGTCCTTTTTTCCTAACTTCTCTGAATGGCCCTTTTTATCTTTGGTTTGTCAAACAGAAAGCCTGTGAGCGCCACTCCTCTCTCTCCCGCACCTGCAGTGCATTAGCGCTAATCAGGTCTGGCAATATTTTCGGTAACACCCGGAACCGGAGTGGGAGGTGTCGCACACAATTGCTTCCCTCTAGGAACTCGGCGCTCGGGAGAAGGTTCCGCTCACCGAGCGTTTTTGTCACCCGTGACATCCCCCCTTGCCAATCGGTTCTAGTCCCTAGAACCGGGATCTCTACCTCCACTCGCCATACCTCACAGGTGGTTGTCCTCGGGTGTCCCGCTGCGATCGTCGAGGCGGCGAGGGTGGTGCAATTACGGCATCCACCTCGGGGTCTCTCGGGACCACAGCCCACCCTATCATGGGCATCTCTCGGACCAGCGGCACACTTGGGGCCTCGGCCGCCGGCTGCGGGTAGTTCGGACATGGTCGGAGCAAATTTCGGTGCAACACCCGTATTGGTCCTGGTTTTCCCTCGGGTCGTACTGAGTAAACTGGGGCCTCTGGCCCTTGCCGTCGCTCTACCACATACGGGATCGACTCCCAACGGTCGCTGAGCTTCCCCTTCCCTGGGCGCCGGTTGTCTGTCACCAGCACTCGCTCTCCGGGTAGCAACGGGGCCTCCCGGGCAGTCCGGTCGTATAGTCACTTGTTTGTGGCTGCTGCTGTGCTCAGGGTGCCCCCATAAAGATCGGCATGACTGTGGACGAGCCGCTGGTGCCTCTTCGTCCGCCATCGCGTACCTGTGGCCGCTACAACTCACGGTGTGAATCCTGCCGACTACGCCACTTTGTGTCACCGGTGCAGGCCGGGGCGGACTCGTATGACCAGCCGCCCCTGACTCCAGACACCACCGCGAGGAGCCGACACCACGGGCACGCAACAGAGGGACACAGAAACAGAGGTAGTTTCAAAGGAGTAACAATCTTTATTAAGCACTGTATTTATGGAAGTAAGAAAAGGATGGCAACGGTTGCTGGGCCTTCTCCCCGGAGCAGCTTGGCAGATCGAGGGCTCCTTCCCCGGGATGTTACACACTCCATGGCCCCGAAGGTAGATAGACAGGTAAGCACTCTTCTTCCAGCGATAGCTGCACACCTTAGACTCTGAAGGAAGATAGTCAGATGAACACTCCTCTTCCAGCGATAGCCGCACAATTCGGGGCTCAGAAGGTAAGTAGACAGGTAAACACTCCTTTTCCAGCGATAGCTGCACACTTCGGGGCTCAGAAGATAAGTAGACAGGTAAGGATTCTTCACAGTACAAAGTACTTACATCGGTGCACAGTAATGAGACGGTGGTCTAAAAGCTTACTTCATCAGCGATGCTGCATACTTCCAAACTCAGACAGTGAGTAGAAAGGTAAGGATTCTTCACAGTACAAAGTACTTTCCAGCTCAGCTGTATCACTCTGGCTTCTGATGGAGAGCAGATATAATAACAACTTTCCACAAACGTGTAAGCATGGGTTGGGGCCACTTCTCAGCAAAAGCACACCACACTCGTGTTCAAATCCACAGCAATGAATCAATGTGTATAAATAGGGCAAAAGCACTGCAATTCACTCACACGATAGGGCTGATCAAAGGCTTCAATCCATTCGTTACACTCTCGTGGGAGATATTTACTCTTCAGTTCCTCCTCAGCACACGCTGAAACACATAGCTTCTCCAACAGTTGGATTTACATTCACTGCATCCTCTTTGAGCTTTTCAAATGTTCATGAGAGGGAATCAATTCACTTATCTTTCCCTCTCCCTCCACAGCGCCGGTCCAAACGATAAGTCAGTCCAGCAGATTTCCACAGACGGACTCTGATCCAGCAGGCTTCAATGGGCGACCTCCACACCCAGACAACTTCCCCGAGTAAACTTGTGCCCAACACTGTTCCGAGTAAAACCAGTTTCCCTCCCCCGTCCTTTTTTTCCTAACTTCTCTGAAAGGCCCTTTTTATCTTTGGTTTGTCAAACAGGAAGCCTGTGAGCGCCACTCCTCTCTCTCCCGCACCTGCAGTGCATTAGCGCCAATCAGGTCTGGCAATATTTTCGGTAACACCCGGAACCGGAGTGGGAGGTGTCGCACACAATTGCTTCCCTCTAGGAACTCGGCGCTCGGGAGAAGGTTCCGCTCACCGAGCGTTTTTGTCACCCGTGACACATTCATGACCTCGAGACTAGATTACTGTAATGCTTTATTAGCCAGTTGTCCGGCATCCTCAATAAACAAGCTACAGTTAGTGCAAAATGCTGCTGCTAGAGTTCTTACTAGGTCAAGAAAATATGATCATATAACACCAATTTTATCATCTCTACACTGGTTACCTATCAAGTTCCGTATCAATTACAAAGTACTACTACTGACCTATAAAGCCCTAAATGGTTTAAGCTCCTGTGTATTTAATGGACCTTCTATCGCCCTACAATCCATCGCGTTCTTTAAGATCACTAAATTCGAGGCTTCTGGTCATTCCTAGGATATCTAAGTCCACTAAAGGAGGGAGGGCGTTCTCACATTTAGCTCCTAAACTCTGGAATAGCCTTCCTGATATTGTTCGAGGCTCAGACTCGCTGTCCCAGTTTAAAACTAGATTAAAAACGCATCTCTTTTGCCAAGCATTCACATAATGCTTACCTTTTTATACCACTGTTGAATCAGATCAAATGCATTTAATATTATAAAACTTGAAGAGTCTGCAGGTTATTTGTATAGGTTGCATAGTATTTACAGTCATTACGTTCCTGTGTATATTGCGTGAATGACGGGTGGTTGGGCAAATACTGTGTTTTGCGGTAGGTGGTATGCCATACGGAACCGTTGCCACTGAAACTGCATTAACGCACCAGTGGGGCTCGACAGCCTTAGTCAAACGGGTTGGCGCGTATGGCTCGGTTGCGGAGAGATTGTGAGATTGTGGTTAGGTCTCAGCAGCAGGAGGGATGTAGAGGTCAGTAAGCTGGGCTGAGTTGAGTGGGGGACGGAGGGGGGTGACTCTGGGACGCCAGAGTCACTGTCTTCAAGTTTTTAACATCTACTCTCGTGTTATGGAAATCATTATGAACAGCAGCTATGCTAATTATTTCCCTTTTGCTTTTCTGCTGTTAGCTTGGGACGCGAGTCCCAAAGAAAATGGCGTTCGTCAGCTCCAGTTTGTATCCAGCCTCTTACGGAGACTTCAGATGCCCCAACACCTGCGATGAGACGACTCAATGCCTGTGAAGAGACGACTCAACACCGGAGATATGTTATGCCCTAAATTATTACATGATTAACTAAATGTATTTTATCCATGTACATTTCTGAAATGCACTTTCTGTAAAGCTGCTTTGAAACAATATGTATTGTGAAAAGCGCTATACAAATAAATTTGAATTGAATTGAATTGAACAAACCTTGTGACAGCAGATGTCTTCTCTGTCTCCTCTCTGACTTCTAGCCAATCAAACAAGCAAGGAGAGGGTCCCTCAATAGCCAGAGATGACACTTGGATCTGCACCAGGAAAGGAGGAGACACCCTGATCACCCATACACAGTGAGAATCAGGAGGATACAAGTCTGGGTGATTTGGAGAACTGAGAGTCCCCCCAGAATCCGTCAACACGCCACCACATTCTGTAAAAACAGATAAAAAGCTCATTCATATTGAAAAGAAAGTTGAAAAGGGTATTCATATGAAATGTATGCATTTGATTGTGTATGCTCTATATGTTTACATACAGTCACGCATGGGCCCTAGAGTATTTGGACTGGACACTTAAGTCACATTTAAAATGTCTGACTGATAGATACAAAATAGCAAACCAAAGGGCATCTGCAACAGAATGCTACTAGAGCTTTTTTAAAATTAACTTTACTTATCTTAGCTTTATTATTATTATTATTTTATCCATTAGTATTAACTAAGTGGACATAGGGGACATATCATGAAAATCTGACTTTTTCCTTGTTTAAGTGCTATAATCGGGTCCCCGGTGCATCTTCCAACCCAGAAAACCTGAAAAGTGACAACCCAGTAACTTTCTTTTGGTGAGCCTTTCTCTGCAATCATGTCAAAAAATAGGCCGATCAGATTTCGCTCCCCTTCTGACGTAGGAAGAGGATCTTATTATAATATTACCGCCACTTAATCTGCATGTTTACACCCACAACGCCACCATTTGGTTTTTACAACGCAGTGGCAAAAGTTCGAGCAAAGCATGCAAACTGTTCTGTCGTTGACCACAGATGAGCACTGAACACTATTTGACCAAAACATGTCACAGTTGTCTTATAAAGACCTCAGGGAACTGTCTCAACTTGTGTAAAAGTTAAACATGACGGTACATGCAAGTCGATGAGATTAATCAATGTAACTCCACAACTACATAAATATATCCACGGGGAAATTATATAAAAATTAAAATAAAAAGGGGAAATTTGACAAGCTATAAAAAAAGATCTGGGGGGATTTTTGAGCTGAAATTTCACAGACACATTCTGGGGATACCATAGATTTATAATACATCTTGTGAAAAGGGGCATAATATGTCACCTTTAAGGCCTTGGATTTTAGTAAGGGAACCCAGGCTGTCTGTGGGAATTTTCCCATTCATTTAAGTTGCCATCGTCATCATATGCACTCCGAAGTCCGCGTGCTCGAAAAGGACGCCAGATCCTGCTTATTCGGATGGTGAGTGGTACTCTTTCCGAAATCGCATATAAAGTAGCCAAAATCAGCATAAATTAACATAGGCTCTGTGTGGTAGCCTATAGGGGTGCCAGTGCACTACTGGGTGGTCCACCAAGTGCTTTTGGGGTCCGCCAACTACCTGCTCTTCACCATAGTCCTCCTCAGTGCCACGGAGGGCCTATTTCGACCCCTAACTACCTTTTCTCTCCTTCATCGCCACGAAGTGCCTGTGGGGTCCCCTAACCACCCAAACTTCACCATAGTCTTCCTCGTGGTCCACGAAGTGCCTGTTTCGACCCCTAAACGCCTGTCCTCTTCTTCATTGCTACGGAGTGCCTATGGGGTCCCCTAACCACCTGAACTTCACCACAGTCTTCCTCAGTGCCACGGGGAGCCTTTTTCGACCCCTAACCACCTGTCCTCTTCTTCATTGCCACGGAGTGCCTGGGGGGTCCCCTAACCACCTGAACTTCACCACAGTCTTCCTCAGTACCACGAGGAGCCTTTTTTGACCCCTAACAACCTATCCTCTTCTTCATTGCCACGGAGTGCCTGGGGGGTCCCCTGACCACCCGAACTTCACCATGGTCTTAGTCTCAGGCCACGTGCTCCTCGAAGGGTGGACAGAGAGGTCCGATCGGCCTGAAACTGACGTATGCGTCCCGTCACGGGCCCCTGGGACGGGTTCTAGAGTTCCGCGTCCCTCTGACCTTTTTTCGCGCTAATTGGCCACCAACAGCCCCATGGAACAAGTTGCACGTGGGCCGTCAAACAAACGGGGGCCAAAAGGGGTCGAAAGGTCGCAGCGGCCCCAAACTCGGCACGGCGGTAGTCCGGGGGCCCCCGGTTCTAGATCCTGGATTTGGTGGTTCTAGATCGGTTCTAAGTGTGGGTTCCAGCAAAGCGGCTTGTTGGAAAGGCCCGATCGGCCCGAAACTGACACACGCGTCTCGTCACGGGCCCCGGGGACGGGTTCTAAAGTTCCGCGTCCCTCGGACCTTTTTTCGCGCTAATTGGCCACCAACAGCCCCATGGAACAAGTTGCACGTGGGAAGTCACATAAACAGGGGCCAAAAGGGGTCGAAAGGTCGCAGCGGCCCCAAACTCGACACGGTGGTAGTCCGGGGGCCCCCGGTTCTAGATCCCGGGTCGCCGGGTTCTAGATCGGTTCCGAGTGTGTTTTCAGTTTGACCCTTCGAGAGGGAATGTCAGTCTATGAGCTCACTATGAGTGCAAGATGCTTTTGAGAGAAACTTGAACAAGTGTGGAAAAAAAATGAGCCCTGAGTTCTAGAGACCCGTCCTCCTGATATGTCGTTCGGGGGCCCGAGGGGGCCCGGCACGCAGTGTTTGGGGCCCGTTGGACCCCCGGGGGCCGAACAGGGGCCACTGACACTTGCAACTTATCCCATTCATTTTCACAGGTGTTTCGTGGAACGTGTGACAGAAAGGTCCGATCGACCCGAAACTGACTTATGTGTCCCCTCACGGGCCCCTGGGACGGGTTCTAGAGTTCCGTGTCCCTCTGACCTTTTTTCGCGCTAATTGGCCACCAACAGCCCCATGGAACAAGTTGCACGTGGGCCGTCAAACAAAGGGGGGCCAAAAGGGGTCGAAAGGTCGCAGGGGCCCCAAACTCGGCACGGCGGTAGTCCGGGGGCCCCCGGTTCTAGATCACGGGTCGCGCGGTTCTAGATCGGTTCTAGGTATGTGTTTCGGCCAAACGGTTTGAAGGAAACGCCCGATTGTCCCGAAACTGACGTATGCGTCCCGCCACGGGCCCCGGGGACGGGTTCTAGAGTTCCGCGTCCGAAACAGCTCGTTTGCCCGAAAAAAGACCCCCTTGACCGGGAAGCGCCTGTGAAGTTTGCATTGAACAAGTTGCACGTGGGCGGGCGGAAATGCAGGGGTCGAAAGGTCGCACCGCCTCCAAATTCCCTGCCCTGGTAGTCGAGGGGCCCCCGGTTCTAGATCCCGGGTCGCAGGGTTCTAGATCGGTTCCAAGTGTGTGTTTTTGCAGTGCAAAAATCTCCTCACTTTGGTTCACTCTGACTGCATGTATGTCTATGTGTGAGAGAGGGCGGCCATTAATCGGACCATGTGCTCGCTGAAGGGTGGACAGAAAGGTCCGATCGGCCCGAAACTGACGTATGCGTCCCGTCACGGGCCCCTGGGACGGGCCCTAGAGTTCCGCGTCCCTCTGACCTTTTTTGGCGCTAATTGGCCACCAACAGCCCCATGGAACAAGTTGCACGTGGGCCGTCAAACAAACGGGGGCCAAAAGGGGTCGAAAGGTCGCAGCGGCCCCAAACTCGGCACGGCGGTAGTCCGGGGGCCCCCGGTTCTAGATAATGGATTTGGTGGTTCTAGATCGGTTCTAAGTATGGGTTTCAGCAAAACGGCTTGTTGGAAAGGCCCGATCGGCCCGAAACTGATACATGCGTCTCGTCACGGGCCCCGGGGACGGGTTCTAGAGTTCCGCGTCCCTCTGACTTTTTTTCGCGCTAATTGGCCACCAACAGCCCCATGGAACAAGTTGCACGTGGGCCGTCAAACAAACGGGGGCCAAAAGGGGTCGAAAGGTCGCAGCGGCCCCAAACTCGACACGGTGGTAGTCCGGGGGCCCCCGGTTCTAGATCCCGGGTCGCCGGGTTCTAGATCGGTTCCGAGTGTGTTTTCAGTTTGACCCTTCGAGAGGGAATGTCAGTCTATGAGCTCACTATGAGTGCAAGATGCTTTTGAGAGAAACTTGAACAAGGGAGGGAAAAAAATGAGCCCTGAGTTCTGGAGACCCGTCCCCCTGATATGTCGTTCGGGGGCCCGAGGGGGCCCGGCACGCAGCGTTTGGGGCCCGTGGGACCTCGGGGGGCCGAACAGGGGCCACTGACACTTGCAACTTATCCCATTCATTTTCACAGGTGTTTCGTGGAACGTGTGACAGAAAGGTCCGATCGACCCGAAACTGACTTATGTGTCCCCTCACGGGCCCCTGGGACGGGTTCTAGAGTTCCGTGTCCCTCTGACCTTTTTTCGCGCTAATTGGCCACCAACAGCCCCATGGAACAAGTTGCACGTGGGCCGTCAAACAAAGGGGGGCCAAAAGGGGTCGAAAGGTCGCAGGGGCCCCAAATTCGGCACGGCGCTAGTCCGGGGGCCCCCGGTTCTAGATCACGGGTCGCGCGGTTCTAGATCGGTTCTAGGTATGTGTTTCGGCCAAACGGTTTGAAGGAAACGCCCGATTGTCCCGAAACTGACGTATGCGTCCCGCCACGGGCCCCGGGGACGGGTTCTAGAGTTCCGCGTCCCTCGGACTTTTTTTCGCGCTAATTGGCCACGAACAGCCCCATGGAACAAGTTGCACGTGGGCCGTCAAACAAACGGGGGCCAAAAGGGGTCGAAAGGTCGCAGCGGCCCCAAACTCGACACGGTGGTAGTCCGGGGGCCCCCGGTTCTAGATCCCGGGTCGCCGGGTTCTAGATCGGTTCCGAGTGTGTTTTCAGTTTGACCCTTCGAGAGGGAATGTCAGTCTATGAGCTCACTATGAGTGCAAGATGCTTTTGAGAGAAACTTGAACAAGTGTGGAAAAAAAATGAGCCCTGAGTTCTAGAGACCCGTCCTCCTGATATGTCGTTCGGGGGCCCGAGGGGGCCCGGCACGCAGTGTTTGGGGCCCGTTGGACCCCCGGGGGCCGAACAGGGGCCACTGACACTTGCAACTTATCCCATTCATTTTCACAGGTGTTTCGTGGAACGTGTGACAGAAAGGTCCGATCGACCCGAAACTGACTTATGTGTCCCCTCACGGGCCCCTGGGACGGGTTCTAGAGTTCCGTGTCCCTCTGACCTTTTTTCGCGCTAATTGGCCACCAACAGCCCCATGGAACAAGTTGCACGTGGGCCGTCAAACAAAGGGGGGCCAAAAGGGGTCGAAAGGTCGCAGGGGCC